TATGTGGAAATATATATATATATATTTTTGATCCTCTCGTATTCAGAGTTCTCTTTTCACGATTCTAATGGTTAACAAATTTAAGCTTTGCAAGCCACTGAAAGCGTTCTGCCATACGTTTCTGACTCGAAAATATGTTTACTTTGTGGATTCACGGACACAAAAATGCGCCGAGAATAATGTTCCTTTCAAAGCGTGTTTTGGGGAGGAAAAGAACTGGAAGGCGATGGCACACAGAGGGAATGGGAGAGACGGCTGAAAAATGGTACGGTCGTGGTTAAGAAATTGATAAGGAGGCTGATAAAATATGAATGGCCCGCGTCGGGCACACCGCGCCGTTTCCACGGAAAAGATCCTTTCATCGGCGACATTTTTCATATTTGTTCGAATCGGTAATGTCAATTCCGATTGCCACAGCCTTGCCGCCGCGTTTTCTACTTTTATAGCGAAAGAAACGTTGCTGAACGTTGCGAAATATCCGATAAAGTAATTAACATGCTGCACCTTCTGATATTCCACGAAATTTTTCCACCTGTGTTAATTAAAGCAATGTCCTTTCGTAGTTTACGCGTGCACGACTAATCGTAAATTATTTTCTTTCACTTTCCGTGTTACGTTCTCCTGTTTATTATGGCAAAAACGTAAGTTACAGCCTCGTAAATAATGGGAAACTCATTTCTACGCGCTTCGAACATAAAATTGATCATTTTTGGCACGTCAAGTTGAGAATAACGTGAGCGTTAAGAGATTAACGAACACTTAATCCTTGGAATAATTATTCGTTAGACACTGATCGAAAGAAACTTTGCTATTTAAGAGTGATTATAATTTAATCAATGTTGCTGTTGGATTATAAAGAGAAATGAGTATGTGTCTGTGTAATAGTAACGGCAAAAATAATCAACATACTGAGACAGATTAATATAAATATATATATATAGAAATAACATAGTAACCATCTGTTTAGTATGGGTGACGCTGATACGTGTTTTTTTCTCAGCGTCTTGTCCATGTTTTTGTTTGATTGCATAGCGACGTGCCTTTCTCGCGTATCAAAATGAAGAAGATTAATAATTAAAATAATATCTTTTAATTTATTACCATAATTCTAACAGTTGCAAAATAGTAGAAATTCCTTCCTTACTTTCTATACATTTTCTGTCGCTTTGCATATGTCGCACTATCGTCACAAATTAGAAAACAAAATATGAAATGAGAGTTTTGAGACTTTCACAGCCTAAAAAAATATAACACATTATCAGTATGTTATTTTTCTTTAAATCTAGCTGCAATGATAAAAAACAACTGCACACTGCATAAACCTAAAAACTTCCATCTGTACTTCAACCGCAACCCTAAAATCAAAATTCACAATGAAACGCTGAATACAAAAGACGAATCAAGATTTACACTTCCCAAGCATCGTTGACAATCTTTATCATCCTTCGACCCATTCGCCTCGCTACTTTCATCGCAACAGACACGTAAGAAATGCGAGTCAGCGTAAGAATACAGATCCTCGCACGCAGCCTCCATATTGAAAAGTTTTCCGCGAATAAGAGGATAGACACGTATCGAGCGTAGCTTCTCTACGCGCTAGGGAATCGAGTGGGGATTTCTCCAACCATATGCAGGACACCGCGTCCTTCGTATTCGTTCCACGCCACTCATTAAAGAATTCTTCATCTGCGGAAAGCCTTTGCGGATCCTCGTTCTCGTCGCTCCTCGATCCGCGACGTCGCGTCGTTTAACGAGAGAACAGAAAGAAACTGGCACGAAGAAAATAGAGCAAACTCTTAGATCGTCACGACAAACGAGAAAGCGTTTCCCCTGGAATCATGGCAACAGAACGTGGTATCGTGGCGAAACTAATTACCAGCGGCCGCTTTAGCGAGAACATCGTGGCGAAGGAGGAAGAAGGAGAAGAGGGGGGATGGAAAAAAGAGGACAAGGGAAAACGGCATTCAGACGGAACATCTTAATAACACGATCGCAATGTAATAAAGCTCGCGGAGAAAATTTCGCCGTGGAGGAGAAGCTACTCCGTGGGCAGGAGTGCCGC